GTAATGTAAATATCTGATATGCAGGATGTATTTAGGCGACCCCTGTGAAAGGGTCATTCGACCCCCAAAGGGGTCGCGACCCACAGGTTGAGAACCGCTGGTCTAGAGACACAGGAGGTTCTATAAAGTAACTAAATTAAATTGGAAAAATAATGCAATTTCCTTAAGGGTTATTGCCCACAGAGGTAGCTTTTATATCAACAGTGCAAAAAACCCATGATTCCTCTCACATCTAGCCTATTAGCTATGTCTGTTCTTTTAGTGGTGTCTGCTCTAAAAAGGAGGTTAACTAGAGATTCTATATTGCAGATAATATATTTCTTAGTAAACTAGAACATTACATGTCCTTTCTATGATTGCAAATCTTGTGTGAATTTTGGGACACTCTATATTTCTAGTGGATCTCAATTACGCCAATTTTCTTACTATTAGGAAGGTAGGGACGGAAACTCAGCCATTGGCTCCCTCACAAAAAATAAATAAATCACTATTTGCATAGGGATAGGGAGGGAGCCTTCCAACTCAGCAGAGTTCTGGAATTCATTTCCTTATACCAGAGAAACAATCACCATTAAAAAGTATGGGGGCCCTGGCCGTGTGGTTTAATTGGTTGAACAATGCCTGTGCACCTAAAGATCCCTGGTTCGTCCCAGGTCGGGGTGTGTATCGGAGGCAACCGATGGATGCTTCTCTCACATTGACGTTTCTCTCTCTCTCCCTCTCCCTTCCTCTAAAATCAATAAAAAAATATTTAAAAAATTAAGTTTCTCTTTAAAAAAAACAAACAACTATGGGGGAGGCAACAGAACACAGAAGTCACAAATTCTTAATTATGGTCATGCCTATCATTTAGCAATTGGTCTAACGACCAACTATTACATTTTCCAGTGCATTAAAAAAATTATCATTTTGTCACTGACCAAAATAAGTGGGGGTGAGGGTGGGGGCATGGAACTCAAACATTATTTATGTGCTATGAAAATGTTAGTTTCCTAAGAAATCAGACAAGTAACTAGCTTTTTTGCTTCTAGCCAAGGGACAGGTTAAAAGCAGGTCATCAGTGCACAAGGAGTCTACTTACTGCATATAACCTAAACATTTCTTACCTTTTGAGAATAAAACTCTCCACTGCCAAGGTGAAAAAAATGAACCAAAGGACACATTTAAAAAATAAAACATGCATTCCATAAGTATACTTTATTGATGGCAAATATACATTACCTTCTCTAGACTGAGAATTTCCTACAATCTCTTGTGATCTGTGTATTTGGTTTAAAAAAAACCCACACAAAACTAGCTCCATTCTATTTCTGACAGGAGCCTAAGAGAGCTGCCAATAGTTCCCCATAAATTACAAAATATCCGGAACTACCATAAGCATAGAATACTACCAAGAATTCTGTTTCTTATCAGATAGATTATGTAAACAGCATTAGATACCTAGCTACCATCTAGCTAGACTGTTAACTTCAAAAAAAGCTGCGTTATAAAAGTTTGGTATCTTGCTAAGTACTGGTAAAGGGGTGGGAGAGGATCATTAATCCCTAGAGTGCCGGGGAGCGCGATTGCGCTCCTCCTGTCTTTTGCCAAAAGTGCCGGGAGCGCTATTGCGTTCCTCCAGCAGTGTCACTATTAGATGCTAGGAATTCACTCTTTATGTGGGGAAAAAAAATTAAAAACCTTAACTCAAAATGCCTTGGCAATTTTAGCAAAGTTCCTAGGATATTGGTTGGCACTCAAAGGGTTAAAGACATATTTAACTGCTATTGGCCCAATGCAAATTTCAGCCCAAAGGGATCCTATGCCAAATTAGATTTGCATTTCCCTTATAGCTAGTTACACTGAGCATCTTTTCAGATACCTGTTGGTCATCTGTATGTCTTCTTGGGAAAAGTGTCTGTACAGGTCCTCTGCCCATTTTTAGATGGGATTTTTTTGGTTCTTGTTGAGTTATATGAGTTCTTTATATATTTTGGATATTAGCCAGTTATTGGAGGTATCGTCTGTAATATGTTCTCTATTAGGTTGGATGCCTTTTTGTTTTGTTGATGGTTTCCTTTGCTGCGCAGAAACTTTTTAGTTTGATGTAGTCCCATTTCTTTATTTTTGCTTTTATTTCCCTTGCCTTTGAGGTCAAGGTTCATAAATTTAGTATGTTTTCTGAAAGTGATAATTCTTAAGTAGTGATTCAACTTACAAGGCCAATCAAATTATACAGACACAAACTACAAATAAATGCTATTATCATTCTCTCTGGCTTTGACAAAAATTTCAGGTACCTTACTGCTTGGGTTAGCAAAGCACAGACTCCAAAACCTATATCACATCAAATTAAAAAAATATATATATGTACAATGGGAAAAATATCCTCAGGTGGGGATTAGCCAAATATATATATATAAATAATACTATCACTTTGTTAATCACGTTTACATGCCACACAAGAAAAAAACAGCTGAAAAAGCCTTTACCTTAATAAATCATGTCAGTCTAGGTGCAGAGGAACACATGACTGTTCAGTTTTTTGGTATCTTTAATATCTAATATTTAAGCGGTGTGAAAAACCGCTTATAGCAAAGGAAACAAATATTGCCATTATTTTGGTTCTCCTATTTTAACTAGCAAAAAACTTTCATTAGGTTAATGTTTGACTTCATCCTTCTCCTGGAATGTAATTCACACATAATTGCAAATGATAATCTTTTTGTTATATAATCTTCTAGAGCAGTGGTTGGCAAACTGCGGCTCTCGAGCCACATGCAGCTCTTTGGCCCCTTGACTGTGGCTCTTCCACAAAATACCACGCACGGCTGCGCACGCACAGTGCGATTGAAACTTCATGGCCCATGTGCAGAAGTCGGTATTTTGGGGAAGAGCCATACTCAAGGAGCCAAAGAGCCGCATGTGGCTCGCGAGCCACGGTTTGCCGAGCCGCAGTTTGCCGACCCCTGTTCTGGAGGATGAAACCAATTCCTTTTCCTATTTTCTAGTTAAATACATGCATTTGTAAATAACCTGGTCATATATTAGAGATGTATCTAAAAGCAACTGTTTTCTAAACCTTAGGTGGATAATGTAAGGAAGTGTGAAGCCAAAGTTACTTATTTAACCAGTCTGAGATACAGCTTCTAGTTAGTGGTGTGCTGTAGGGGCTAAATGATCAATGCATATAGTGCCTTACACATACTAGGTGCTCACTAAATTTATAATTTAACACATTAAGCTCCATGTCAGTCACCAGTGACTGAAACGGAAAAAAAGACAAAACAGGCTTGGTGCTTAACGTGTTAAAAACCCTATACAAGTACTCAAAAACAAAACAAATACGTATCTAATATCTAACCCCAGTGATTAAAAAAATTAGAAGTAACACTTCCCAGGTATATATATTTCTTTTTTAAAAAATTTTATTAATTTTAGAGAGGCAGGGAGAGGAGGAGGGAAAGAGATAGAGAGAGAGAGCGAGAGAGAGAGAGAGACAGACAGACATCAATGATGAGAGAGAATCATTGATCGGCTGCGGTATGCACGCCCTCTACTAAGGACCGAGCCCACAACCTGGGCTTGTGCCGTTGACCGGAATCAAACCTGGGACCCATCAGGCTGCAGGCTGACGCTCTATCCAATGAGTCAAACCAAACTGGCTAGGGCCCCACTCAATTCTTTATGGTAAAATAAAGAACATCTTGGGTTTTTCTGTGTGTCAGAAAGAAAATATGAACTGTCCTGGAAAAATATATCCCTGAAGCCCTAACCGGTTTGCAGGCTCCTCCCTGGCCCAGGCTCTGGTCGGGATTCGAGCTGGAGGCAACCAATCAATGTGTTTCTTTCACATCGACATTTCTCTGTCTTTTCCTCTCTCTCTCTAAAAAAAGGAAAAATATCCTCGGGTGAGAATTAAAAAAAAAAGAATTAGGTCACCATTTATTTATTTATTTTAAAGCCACCTTTTATATTAAGAAACTGAAAATGTTACTTTAGACTTCTAAATCAAATTAACTGGCTAGTTTTTCAGCATGACCCTATTTTAACATTAATGGTCCCACAATGTAGTAATAGCCAACTTACCTTTAATCAATAGGTGTTTTTATTTCTCAACCTAAAGCTTATTTTATAAACTTTTAATTATCACCTTTGCTGAAAACACCTTTGACTGAAGTGGTATTCATACTTGAGTGTAAGTTTTCCCAAATCTAAGTAACCAAATCACCATCATGGCAAGAAGAAAATAATACCTTAACCCTACCAGACCGCTGTACCGATTTTTCGGTAATTTCCACACAAAGGTGGAATATTGGCGTTAGATAAAAGGTAGATCTATTTTCTACAATATCTCCAAGTTCCATCTTATTCTAACCACTTGTTTGCATGTAACTAACATTTTTCTATATCATGTTGGTTTTTTCTCTTTAATGCTCAGGAGCCCAGATATAGGGGACAGTTAGGTTCAGGGCCTCAGGTCTGGTAGGATTAAGAGTTAGAATCTGAGCCTGTCAGAGGTAAACTCATTCCACTAAATGGAAATTCTAAGACAAGAACAGAAAAGGTATGTGTTGAGGGAAGATGTCCAAGTGTTTTACATACTGCATGTATTCAAGATTAGTTGCATTCAGCAAATGTAAATTAGAAGAGTTTCTATATTACTTTTGTCATTTAAGCCTTCATATCACTGTTTTAAAGAACTCTTTAGCACAAGAAATCATCATTAGCGTTTTTTAAAAATTAGCAAATGTAACTCCCAGGTTTGTGTTTCTAAGTATTTAGACTATGCCCTATGGGCGCAGAAGAAAGAATACGAGGCTATGAGTCAGCGGACCTAGACCTAAGGCCCTGACCCTCCTTGGTTGGCGCTGCAATTGCAAGAGTTACTCTGGGGCTCAATAAGTTCAATTTCCTCATCTGTAAAATTAAGATCAAATTATTTTACATTTAAATAACAATCAGCAGTTTTCAGGTTGCTCTGTTATTTTGCCTCTCCTTTGAGGTTCACAAGAAACCTGATGATAGCCCTAGTTGGTTTGGCTCAGTGGACAGAGCATTAGCAGGAAGACTGAAGGGTCCCGGGTTCGATTCCCGTCAAGGGCGCGTACCTTGGATGCAGGCTCTATCCCAGCCTGGGTCAGTGCCTGTGCAGGAGCCAACAAATCCCCATCTCTCTCACATCCATGATTCTCTCTTCCCCACACCCTTCCACTTTCTCTAAAAATCAATGGGGAAAAAAATATCCTCAGGGAGGATTAACAAAACAAAAACAAAAACCTGATGGGCGGGAAAAGCTCAGTGCTCCCTTTTATCAGTTTTCTGAGATCTGCTGGTTTACTTGAGACACTCCCAAACCTGGAGAATATAAACACAATCCCACAGTTCTCCACATTCCGAGTGGCTCTGGAAGAATGCCCTTAAAGAATGACAATCCCAATAGCTGAGTGATTAAATAAGCCATTTACGGAAGAAGTCAGAGGTTTTTAAAAGGCTAAAATTAAAAGAAAGCAAATAAAAGTTCATCTGCTCGTCCAAAGAATGTTTTGCACATACAGTTGTAAAACTGAGTATTTACCAAAAATACTTCAGAGTGGTTAAGAGCAGTTAACCAGTAACAGTGGTTGGCTTGGAGCGGCCGACATGCCTGCGATTTGTATTATCTTTTTGTTTTTTTAAACAAACATAAACTAGTTTTTATGCTCAACAAGAGTAAGTCACCGGCGGGTTACAGGCACAGGCCTTTAAAAGCTCTAATTATAACAACGGTGACAACTCCCTGGAGCCCACCGGGATTTCAAGGACACAAGCAGAAAAAGCCCAGAAACCAGTAAGTGCTCCGGCGCAATTTGACAGCCATGACCACCCATTCTCAACACAACGGCAGAGCAGGCTGGGGGCGGGCACCGGAGGCTCCGGTTAAACACTCCCTCTTGCACCGCCCAGGCCTCGAGGAGGAAGTGGGAGAAAAGGGCCAGGGGGGAGGCAGGCGTTTGCATGCAAGTATCGGGGGGTGAGGCGGGGGACCTCCAACCCTGAGCCCCAATGGTCCCTCTGCCCCAACCCGTGCAGGGCACCGGCCGTGGGCGACGGGCTGGGAACCGGGCCGCTCTGCCAAGGGGCTTCCAGACCGGGCCCAAAGCGCTCTCCCAACCCAGGGAGCCCAAGCCCCTCTTACAGGGTTTCTTGGCATCCTTGATCTTCATGGCGACGGCCTGAGGGGCGAGGGGCAGCCTGGGGTTCGGTGCACGGAGTGTGGTGGTGGTGGTGGTGGTGGTGGCAGCGACTCCGGAGGTGGCTAGGCCCTGCGAGGAGGCCCAGCCAGTTCTTCCCCTTTAGCTGGCCGGGCGGGGCCGGCGGGCGGGCCGAGGGCGGGACGGAGGCGTTTGAGGCGAGGCCGGCCCAGGGGGTGGCCCCCCAACCCCTGAGAGGGGCGGCCAGGACCGAGCGAGCTGGGGAAGGCCGCCGGTCTCGCCGCTCCGGGGGCCCACCCCCTGCAGCTGCTCCAAACAAAAGGCCCCGGTCCCCCAGCTGCCACCGCTGCTCTGAGAAATAGCCCGCCCAGGCTGAGCGCCCACGTGACGCGAGCCCCCCTTCCCCCAGCTGGCGGCCCGGCTGCTGGGGATTGTAGTTCTCTGGGTCGCGAGGCCCTGCTCTTTGGCTGCAGAGGTGTAGATGGACTACAAAGCCCAGGATGCATTGCGGCCGCCCCTTCGAGGCCCCTCCCATTCGGGAGATCGCCTTAGAGTGGTCCCAGAGAGAAGGGGGCGGGGCCTTAATCACGCCAGTGACGAGGCGACCAATGGTGACTGGTGTGGGCGGGCTGCGGAAGTCCCGGTCTTGGGCCTCTGCCCGCCAAGGAAAGAGCAGAAGGGGAAGGAAACTCTGCAGGTACTGCCATGGCTGTTCTAGAAGTTGCGAGTTTCCCTGGAGGCAGAAAAGCTGGTCCTTGTGCCATGGAAGGCGGAGAATCCAGGGCTCTAGAGCCACTCTTAAGACAGACCGTGAAACACATTTACAAAGGAACCCCCGCGGCTTAATAGAGACACCTCAAATACTGGCGTTGGAGTAATGATGTTGTTAATAACGGCAATAGTAGTAATAGGTGACATTTGTTGGATGCCTGCCATGTCCAAGGCACTCTGCTAAGCGCTTTTGGTTTACTTTAACAACTTTGTGTACTATGGACAGTTATTCTTCGTGATGGTGTCTATCACGCATTTTGAAGATGGGCAGGATGTGAGAAGTTAAATCACGTGGGGAGCGCATGCTCTTGGTCACCATTCCAGGGTCCCCTCAGGGGCCCGGCAGCCCAGCTCCTTGCTTCCAAAGGGGAAATCGATTCCCAGAGAAGAAAATTAGATGCTCGAGTTCTCATAGGAGAGCCAGGGCACCCCTTTCCCTCTGCCTCCTAGACTCTGAGTCCTCCAGCTGGAAGGGGAAGGAACAGCATTGGGATCTCCTGGCTTTCCCTCCACATCTGACCCCAGTTGGCTGACCAGGAATTCCGCAACTAGTGGTTTGAGACTTGGCAGTGGAGGACTGAGCCTTCGTGCCCCTTCCTTGAACAGGATAAGCCAAGGGTTATGAATAAGGCCGGGAGGGGACACACATTACCACATAGGCGGCACGTTCTCAGCGCTGGCACGTGGCAAGGTACTTTCCTTCTTAAACTTTACATTTAATCCTCACCACCACCCTTTGAAATATAATTATTAAGAACTCAAACTTGAGTTCACATTTTGGTCCTACAACTTGGTAATAAATTTAGGCAAATGATTTCATCTTTCTGGCTGTCATTGGAAATAATGGTGCTGTTAACGTAAAAAACCATTGGAACCTGTGAATAATTTTTGTGAGTTTATTTGAGCCAAACTGTCGACATATGCCGGGAAGCAGAACCTCAACGAATTGAGATAATGCTCTGGAGACTGGTGGGTTACATCTGTATTTATACATTGCAATCAAAGGAGGTGATGTAGGTGGGTTACATGAAATCCATTGGTGATAGACTAGAGAGGCAGGAGAAAGCAAAGCAGGGAAACCCCTGGGATTGGGTAAAAAGTAAAATGATCGACACATACTTAGGTGGGTGCAGGAACAATTAACATGATAATGAAGGAATTTGTGGTATCTGTCCTGGTGCCCAGCACATTAGGTTGTGCCCCAAGGGGTCCAGAAAAAGGGACATTTCAAAGGGTATGTTATTATAGATGCAAAAAGACAGTTAGGCTCAGTTAAGGTAAAAGTTGACCTTGTCAGTGAAGATACCAGCCTTAGAATGTAACTACCCACCATAACTGCTTTTAGTTAAAGTTTAATTTCAGATCATCCTTTGTGGTTACTTTAGGTCTCTGAGTTTGTCTCTGAGTTTGCAAGGCCTCTATGCAGGCCTTCCCTGAGCTGGTCAGGTTAGCATGTGGCCCCTTTTGTCCACAGTGCCAATCACATTTCATGCCACTGAGATGGGGGTTAGATGAAAAAAGGCATACAAAGTGCTTAATGCATTGCCTGGCATATTGTCACCATGGTATGGATAAGTAAGTGCCATCTAGGTTTATTATTGCATTGTTGTTAACCTTAAGACAAGAAAGAAAGCTTAAGTATTTATCCTGCTCAGGTAAGGATTTAGGATGAGACCCTAGGTCTGATTGGTGCTTTGTGCTTCCTTACCTTTTGTTGTTTGATCCCAGGTTCCACATGTGTTGTTTGGAAATATGTGGGTTTTTTTTTTTAATTTAGATTTTTTTAATAGAAACATCATTCAGACCTCCCAGATAATGTGACCTGGTAACGTAGAGCTCTGAGTGGTAGACTTAACCTTGTTTACCTTCTTGTCACTTCTTCCCACACAGAACCCTACATGTTCTCAAATGATCTTGTTTTCCCACAATTTTATTGGGTGAGAGTCATGATTTCTGATTTGACATGGCTTCAAAGAGTGTTCACTATTCTATATGATCCACCCACTGATTCTGTAAGACTTGTGTGCACACCCTGTTCTCTATCAACATGTATCTTTTGGTTGTTTTCCTGCTTCTTTAAAAAAATTTATATATATATATTTGTATAATAAAAGCCTAAGCATCCCTTACGGTGGAATGGCTAGAATGACCAGTCGCTATGATGCGCACTGACGACCAGGGGGAGGACGCTTAATGTAGGAGCTTCCCCCTGGTGGTCAGTGCGCTCCCATGGGGAGCGCCGCTCAGCCAGAAGCCGGGCTCACGGCTGGTGAGCGCAGCGGTGGTG